TCTCCTTTTCTCCTTGGCGATCCAGGCTGTGGGCGGTCTCTCAGCATCATCATGTACAGTGGCCAGCTATTACCCTGCATTGTATGTGGGGAGTATGCGACCATGGCCGGGGAGCCTACTGGAGCAAGTTGTAAGGTAAGTATTACTCCTCATCCCTGCGCCCCTAGACTGAGTAGTTAATCCTTGCAGTGCAAGGGGACCCCACAAAAGGTACAAAGTTTATTTTTAACCCAGGACCACAAGGCCGCAGTGCTCACCAGTAAGCCAAGCCATTATAACATCTAACAAAAGCAGGGCTTTTTTTCTGGCAGTACGCACCGGTGCGCAGGGCCAGCACCTACCGCCAGCCCTTTAATTTTTATTTTTTTGCAATCTAGAATCGCTAAAAAACCCGTAAAAAGGCACCCTTGCGGCAAGCGTTATCGCCATGCGCAGGGTGATGACACTTTTCTGTTGCAGTGTCCGCACACTTGCCATACAATGCGCAAGCGTCCGTACAGTAAGTGTGCAGACACGGTTCCAGAAGACAATAAACCTCATTGCCGGTGGCAATCTTGCACATGCTCAGTGTGTCCACGCTACCACAACCAAAATGGCCACCAGCATTGAGGTTTATTGTTGGCAGCCATCTTGGTTGTGGTACAGTGCGACCCTGATGGCCGCCACATGCTTTTTGTGGGCAAAAAGGTGGCTTGAGTACCGTCACCTTTAAAAAGCAATATCAAATCTCATAATGCACTTCTGAAATGGGCCGTACTTTAAAGAAGAACTCCGGGCATATCAAAAATGAACCCTTGCAGTGGAATCTTCTGCACTGAAAGGGTCAAGAGCTTGTACTGGTCTAGCATCTAAAATAAAAAAATATATACCCACCTGAACCTCGCTCCCATTTTGGTGAAAGACTGGTCCCCACAGCCTCTTCTTCCCCCAGGCCCCCGGTGGTGTAACGATCTGTGATGTTATCATATGCATTCACTTGCATTGGATGTGAGGATGCTGAGAGACATTCAGCGGCTGGAGTGGAGAGGAAGAGAGGTGAGCGGTCACCACCGCCGGACCGAGGATCGGGTGATTGTATCTTTTAGACCCTAGACCAAAACAAGCACTGCAAGGGTTAATTTTTCACATGCCCAGAAATTCTTCTTGAAAGCGTAAGATGAGACTTTTTTTCCCTTTAATTTCCTTCCACTGACACTGCTGAGAAAAGTACAAGCTGATCCTGAAGATGTTATTACAGTCTTTCCCCATGAATGCATAATGGAAACATTCACTTCTTTGAATCGATTCACCATAATACAAATTGAGGTGCTCACCCCTTTTAGCTGTGTGTTTAGAGAGCAGCAAGTGAGTAGCAGAGCCATGAAAACCAATGCGCTGTACGGCGTATATAAATACAGGCCAGCGGTTTATGTCGTGCATAATAGCTTTTAAATGTTTGTTCACACTGAAATAATCATGAAATAGATGATCATGCATTATGTATGTGGTGCTGCTCTGAGCTTGCTTGTGCATATTATATCTGTGACCTATAATTACCCACCAACAGCAAAGAGATGATGACATTGTTTCCTGGAAGCATGTACAATCGAATATTTCACCAGGGACCATTTCGCCGTCGCGGTACAACACATTACGAATCGCAGCCTTTGCCGTGAAGCCTTTTAAACATGGAAGGAATAATTCACCGACGTTATTGAAGTATGTGTTGTCGTTGGAAATAGAAGACGTGTTAGTGGAAATAGAAGACGTATTTTTACAGGATTAAATACTGGAGATATTTCCATACCATGTAGACCCCCATTAGTCCCCCTTCACATCTGTACTCTGCACCAACATACCTTGTAAGACAGACTTTCTCAACCAGGGTGCCTAAAGTGCCTTCTGGCTTTCACAGGGGTGCCTCAAAATTTTCACACAGCATTATGCCTCTGATGGGAAAGTCGCCCTATTGATGTAAACGGGGGCTTCTGCTTTGAAGAGGGTCTCCTGGTGTGAGTGGGAGGACTCTAATGTAAAGGGGACTCTTATGTGAATGGGGGCACTCTAACTGTGTTGTTGCGTGGGTTCCCCCACCGTTCACATGTAGCGAATTATCGCGCAATTTCCGCTGCGATATCGCGCATTTTTGCCGCCCGATATCGCGAGAAGTTGCCGGCTAATGCTATTCAATGGAGCTGTCTTAAATCCATTGAGGTTAAAGGAGAACTATGAGGTGAGTGCTCAGTAGATCGGGAAGTGAGCAAACACATACCAGTGTTCGCTCACTTCTTGATGCTTTACAGCTCTCTGCCGTGACAGGGGAGTGGCTGAATTCCCCCCTCCCTGCTCCGATCCTCCAGCGCTGACTGGCGCGGAATGGACGGGGGAGGGGGCGGGTACAGCTGGCTCTGCCTCTAGATAGGCAGAGCCAGCTGTCACTCACGCAGTTGGGCGGATCCAGACATAATTGCGGCGTCTCAGTATACTGAGCTTATGGTGGCGGGAGGACGCTAGTTTGTGTCCTCCCGTTACCCTAAGAAGAACTATGGGGAAAAGCCATAAAACAAGATTTTGTTTACTTTTAAAGGCTGCTGTGGCTGCAAAAAGGTTGATAAACACGGTAGTAAGACCTTGCGGTGCAATTTATTGCACCCCTAATGCTCCTTGCTGCACCGTGCGCTATTAATTGCATCAAATTGCACCAAAACGCATGGTAACAAAGTGCCATGTGTTTAGGTGCGATGCATGGTGGGAAAAAAAAGGCACAGGATTGCCAGGAATTGAATGAATGGGCACACAAAACCGTGCATTCACATGCATGTGCTGTTGCACCTGCACAAGTATGAATGGGGGCTTAAGGTTAATCCACTTAAAACGGATCATTCAGTGTTGGTCAGAGGTCAATGGGTTGAATCAGCAGCTGGTTTCCTATAAGCTTGTAGCAGAAATGTGTAAACCCGTCTACCTGGTAGGCTCAGCTGCACTTGTGTCTTCCTATTGTTGGACTTTCTATTCATTTTACAATATAGGGAGTGCTGCTTCAGGAGTAAGACTGCATGAGATACAGGTGAAACTCGAATAATTAGAATATCGTGCAAAAGTTAATTTATTTCACTAATGCAACTTAAAAGGTGAAACTAATATATGAGATAGACTCATTACATGCAAAGCAAGATAGTTCAAGCCGTGATTTGTCATAATTGTGATGATTATGGCTTACAGCTCATGAAAACCCAGATCCACAATCTCAGAAAATTTTTGGCAGTGTGGGCAGGTGCCAAGTCCTGCTGGAAAATGAAGTCAGCATCCCCATAGAGCTCGTCTGCGGAAGAAAGCATGAAGTGCTCCAAAATCTCCTGGTAGGCGGCTGCGTTGCATTAGTGAAATAAATGGACTTTTGCACGATATTCTAATTTTTCGAGTTTCACCTGTATGTGGGCAGAACTGGAAATGATTTGCATAGTTCAGTGATCTTCCCCCTCTTACCCCCTCCCTTATACTATGGTCCCTACATGATAAAGTGACAGTTGCTCTCGAAGTAATACGTCCTTGGTTGCTCCTTCTCCCCAGCCTGCTGATTGGACAGTAAAGGAGCTGAGAACACTGATGATGTCATCTTTGTGCTCTCCCCTCCTGTAAAGACTAAAGCATGGGAGATGTCGGGGCCATAGAGGGGGGTAAGTGGCATCAGGCTGGCACAGAGAGCATCCAACACTCCCAGAAGTGTGACAAGTAATTAGCGCTGTTTGTAGGACAACAGAAAAAGGAAAGGACAAAAGATGGCATCAGTTGTTGCTATGGCAGTACATTTACATGTTATGTTAAAGAGGAACTTCACCCTTATCTTGAAAATTATAACAAAGACACCTTTTGAATTTTTAGTAATGACAATCTACAAACTGCAGGCTTTTTATTTGTCACATACCCTATTCTTTTCCTCCCCATCCTTCTCACGGTGGCCATTTTTCACTGAGAGCAGATGAATCCATGAATCCATCTCCCTTTACTTCCTGGAACTCTGGGTCTGCGTCCCTGAACATGTGACACTGCATATCTATCTATCTATCTATCTATCTATCTACAGCCGTGAAATACCTGCCCATTCACTGATTTGGGCTTTCTCTTGGTTGACAGTTGTTCCTTATCTGATAGTTCTGCCTCTTGTCCATGGTCCACGTCACGTCCGATTTCAGGCAATAACCGGCTGCGCAGACAGAGCAATATTTTGATAGCCTTTTGAAAGCCACCATGTACATTCTTCCTGATTACTGCAGCTTTTTTGTAGTAGTTCTATATTATTTGCTTTAGCAGAAATGACCAATACTTTATTATAATATGTGGACAGAACAGTGGTTTAGTGGTTAGCAGTTCTGCATTGCAGCACGGGAGGTTCCTGGTTTGTATCCTGGTCAGGACACTATCTGCAAGGAGTTTGCAAGTGCTCCCTATGCTTGTGTGGGTTTCCTCTGGGTATAAGAAGTTATGGACACCGGCACTCCAAAGTAGAATAACGTCTTTTATTGACGTGTCATGCAACAATACACTTATTGCAACGTTTCGGGGTCACACAGGATCCCCTTCATCAGGCAGAACAAGTGAAAATTACAAACAGATATGGACAAGCATTTATACACATCCTTGTATGTGAGGAGACCAATACCACTGCCCAAAAGTGATCCTATGACGTCATTTCCCGCCACAATTCAAATTCCTCTGGGCACACCATTTTCCTCCCACACTCCAAAGACATGCTGGAAGGTTAAGTGGCTCCGGTCTAAATTGGCTCTTGTATGTATGCATGTGAGCTAGGGACCTTAGATTATAAGCTCCTTGAGGGCAGGGACTGAAGTGAATGAGCAGTATGTAAAGCGTTGGATAAATTATCAGCGCTATATAAATACTAGTAATAAACAATTGATGACCTACTCCATGGCACACATAAAAAGTACTAGTAAGTCACCTCTTCCTGTTTTTCACTTCTGAATTATACTAATCAATGTGGCCATTTCTGTCTTTGGCAGGTGACATCATCAGCCTCGGCGACAGGCAGCTGACGGTGATGCATATGCCGGGACACTCACGTGGAAGTATCTGCTTACATGATAGAGATCGGAAGGTCCTTTTCAGTGGAGATGTAGTGTATGATGGATCCATGATCGACTGGTTGCCTTACAGTAATATCTCCGAATATGTTAGATCCTGCGAGCGCCTCAAGGGTTTGGTGAACCGGGGTTTGGTGGACAGGGTGCTGCCAGGGCACTTCAACACATTTGGATCAGAAAGACTACACCGCTTGGCCTCCAACTACATCACGAATGCTGGACTGTGCCACAAGGTGTCAACGTGTGCAGTGAGGTCTATGGCAGGAATAGCACTTCGTGTAACCAATTCCAGGAGAACAACCTAAATGACTCGATTTGCCGTGCCAATCATAAACTAAACGGAAGGATTTCTATGCAAACATCTAATACCAAACACGATAACTTAGCATTCTGTACAGTATGTAGATGCCATTAATGCCTCCAATATGAGCTTATGTTATATCAAACTGCAAGCAAACCTGTAGGACAAACTGTATATATGAATTCATCGCATAACTTTCTCGGTAGGAGAAGCTTGACCTGATAGTTGCCTATTACTGAATTGGATATACTGATGCTTTATGCATTCAGAGTAATATTTGATGTTCTAAAATGCTGAGACATTTATATTCTGGGTAATATTTATACAGAAATGGTTTACAGTTGAACTCGGTAAAGCAAAGTACGCTATTGTTTTCTGTTTGATGTCTGTACAAGATTAGCTCTTACAGTTTAAATGGTTAAAATTGCCCCGATGGAGAGCCCACCTAGAGCGACCTTTTACTTTGCATGGAGGAGAGGTAGGTAACCTTGGCACTCCAGCTGTTGTGGAAGTCCCATAAGGCATTGCAAGACTCTAGATGGGATTTGTAGTTTCAACACAGCTGGAGTGCCAAGGTTGCCTACCCTTGAGGTATAGTAACATGGTTGCTTGGTACCAGGCACTGCTAAGGGTTAATACCTCCTCTGCACCACTGATAATTAACCTTTGCTCAGGACTGTGGGGGGGGGGAGGGGCCTGGAAATCAGCTGCCCATGGACTGAGCACGTACTATGGGAAGTAGGGGAAGTGTAATTGCACGTACTATGGGAAGTAGGGGAACTGTTAGGAGTGAGTAATTACTCACTCCTAACAGTGTATTCCTATCAAGCAGACCTTTTACATTGCTTAGTTCACTTTAAATATCTAAGGATCTATTCGCACCCAATGCGTTGCGGGTGAGCTGGCTGTTTTTTCCAGCACTGCCACAACGCAAGACGAGGCATTTTGCCTTGTTCCAGTTGGGCTCAGTTCACACAACCACATTGTGGTGGTGTACGCTGAAAAAAGTACGACATGGAAAAAAACTAGGGTTGCAACTAATGATTATTTTCATAATAGTTGGCCGATTTATTTTTTTGATTAATTGGATAAAATAAATCCCATCTTTAATTTAAAATAAAAAACACAATTGCAGTGTTTACTTCAGAATAAAACTGCATGCAAATTTTTTTGCAAACGCACGGCATTGTGATACCGTGCGTTTCAGTGTGGGCAATGACACTGTGGGTGGGAGGCGTGTTTGGTGTGCCATTGAAATTAATGGCACTGCAACGCACCTCCCGCAGCACAATTTTTCAGGCTGAAACCGGAAATGACTTTTTTTCCCCACCTTTTTATCATTTTTTTTTCTTTTAAAAAATTGTATTGTAAGCACATGGCGCTCCAGTAGCTTGAGCCAAAGAATGACAGCTGCCAGTGGCAAGATTCCGCAGTCGCCAGCTGAATGTAAATACAGCAGTTAGTGGGCGGGTGCAATAGCCAGCCTGCTATTGGCCATTTCAAACTGCAATAGTCAGTAGCAGACTGGCTATTGCACCCGCCCACTGCTTGCTGTGCCCTCCTCCCAGTATGGAGGAGAGACCTAAGGGATCCAACCAACTAATCGATAATGAGAATAGTTGACAACTATTCTCATTATCGATTAGTTGGTTGCAGCCCTAGAAAAAACAACTGCACTGTGCCCATAGAGCTTACTAAAATGTCACTGCATCAGCACTGTCGGGCACACGCACCCCAGCAACCGTGCAGTGTAATGTGGCTGCTGGTGTGAATGGGCCCTTGTAAACTTAAAGGACAAGTACACATATATGTTAAAAAACACTAAAATATATATGCACATTTACTTTTATCTGCACAAATATTTCATACTGTTTTGTTTTTCCATAAACTAAGCCCCCATTAAAACCTGAGCGCTGGGTTGCGTGTTTGCTGTAATTGCACGCAAGAGCATGTTCTTCCCTAAGGGAGGATGTGGCTGCATGCAATTACATGTCGTCATACGCACACCCCAACTTGCACATACGTGTGGGTCTGGGTGCCCGCACTTGGATGCCCGTCTGAATAAGCACTTAGTAACAACCCTCCCACTCTACCCTACCCCTGCTTCTCTTTCTTTTAGAAAAGGATTGTCTAGGTTGTGGATATGTGTTTCTTGTAAAGGAAGTAGCATATGGAACCAGCACTTGTGGTTGCAGTAGCAGTTACCTCTAGGTGATTGTACATCGCTCCTGCTGTCTTGTAGTGTGCCCCCAGATAACCAGACGTGCTCTGTTATGCTATCCTCAAGGAAATTGGCGCTTTGGCTTGCAGGTCCCGTGCTGGGCTTTTCTGTCGGTCCATCAATGTAATTGGGTCCTTACTGGTCTGGTCAATAGTGTAAGGGAATGTACAAACCAGTTTACCAATGGCTCATCAACTCACTGCTTAATGCAGAAAGAGCTCTTCACTTCCATGCTGCAGCCACACTGCCTAATCAAGTCAGCTTGCATAGTGTAGAGATAAGTGCCAGGGCACGCACTGCCTTACTATTGTGCAAGTAATCTGGATATATATTATGGGAGATTTTGCTGATCTTAGTGAAATTGTCAAAGCAAGAGTCTCATTTTTTTCAGTGTTTTATATTTATGAAAAATAGCTATTCTTTATAAAGTGTGAAATGCAAGGTGTGAGAATATTTTTGGAGGTTATTATATAATATTATAGTTACCAAAGTTATAAGAAAGCATTTGTATTCTTTAGGGATGCACCAATACCGATACTGGTGTCGATACCGTGTATTTGGTCGAGCACTTGTACTCACCCAAATGCTCGAATACTTAACCCCGATGCCGGAACTTCCGCTCAGAGGGAGATGTCCTCTGAATGGCAGTGCCGTCGGGGGAACATGTAGCCGGCTTCCCGGCCAATCGGGAAGCTGGTTTGTGTGTAATGACTTTGCCGCCCCCGGCTTCCTAATTGGCCTGGCAACCGGCTCCATGCTGTTAAGCCAGCTCCATGCTCCAGCTTCCCGGGCCAATCAGCATGGAGCCGGCCAAACAGCATGCAGCCGGCCAAACAGCATGGAGCTGACTTCCTGGGCTTCACGGGAAGTGGGCTCCACGCTAGCAGAAGGACCAGACTCGATATCGGCGAGTACGGAAAGATTAAGTATCTGTACTCTAAACCGAAAAATCTGTATCGGCGCATCCCTAGTATTCGTAAACAAAATCTATTTATCTCTATATAGAAATATATTGTATGCTATAACATGGTTTCACTAATGTATTTTATACAGACGCAGAGAACAAAATTGCAGAATGAATTGTCATGTGTATTCATTGTTTTCAAAGTATCTTTGTAAAGCTTTTTTTTTGTGTTTTTGCTACAATATAAACACAAATAAAAGAAGCTCTCTGTATCACGGATATTTCTTGTGTGATAGTGGCGTTGGATGACCTATAGCAGGGGGGCCCATTAGGTAGATCTTGATCTGCCAGTAGCTCTCAAAGCTGATGCTGGTAGATCACGGAGGGCGTGAATGGCGGCCCCTTTATTCCATTTTGGTATATTTATTTAGCTGTGCACACATGATTACCTATTAGTAGACATGTGCGATTCGTTTCGTTCCGAAAATAAATTCGTACGAGTTTTTGGAAATTCGGATGTATCCGAATTACAGATGTAACAAATTCCGAATCCGAATTGACTTTCACACCCGAATCCTGAAAAACAAAATAACACAAAATCCGAATCAAAACGAAACACATTTTTTGCCAGTGCACATGTCTACCTATTAGACTGAGTCTGCTGAGCCGAGCTCCCCAACACCTTTCTGGTGGATACTGGTGGCTGAAGTGCCATGTATTACATCAAAGAATAGTAGTTTACACAGCCTGTTGCCAAATACATCAAGGTGAGCCAGGAGAGAGAGACAGCCAGGGGAGAGAGAGCGAGGAGAGACAGCCAGGGGAGAGAACGAGGAGAGAGCAAGGAGTGACAGCCAGGGGAGAGAGAGTGAGGAGAGACAGCCAGGGGACAGAACGAGGAGAGAGCAAGGAGAGACAGCCAGGGGAGAGAGAGTGAGGAGAGACAGCCAGGGGAGAGAACGAGGAGAGAGCAAGGAGAGACAGCCAGGGGAGAGAGAGTGAGGAGAGACAGCCAGGGGAGAGAGCGAGGAGAGACAGCCAGGGGAGAGAGCGAGGAGAGACAGACAGGGGAGAGAGCGCGGAGGGACAGCCAGAGGAGAGACAGCCAGGGGAGAGAGAGCAAGGAGAGACAGCCAGGGGAGAGAGAGCGAGGAGAGACAGCCATGGGAGAGAGCAAGGAGAGAGAGCCAGGGGAGAGCAAGGAGAGACAGCCAGGAGAGTTGGAGAGACAGCCAGGAGAGAAAACGAGGAATGGCAGCCAGGAGAGATAGAGAGCAAGGAAAGACAGCTAGGAGAGAGATGAGAGGCAGCCAGGGGAGAGAGCAAGGAGAGAGACAGCCAGGGAAGAGAGCGAGGACAGACAGCCAGGAGAGAAAACGAGGAATGGCAGCCAGGAGAGATAGAGAGCGAGGAAAGACAGCCAGGAGAGAGATCAAAGAGTGACCGAAGAGAAATAGCCAGGAGAGAGATCAAGGAGAGACATCCAAGAGACCGGAGAGAAACAGCCAGGAGAGAAAACGAGGAATGACAGCCAGGAGAAAGAGCAAGAAGAGACAGCCAGGAGAGAGAGAACAAAGAGAGCAAGAAGAGACAGCCAGGAGAGAGAGAACAAAGAGAGCAAGAAGAGACAGCCAGGAGAGAGAGAACAAGGAGAGACAGCCCGGAGAGAGCGGGGGAGTGTTTTTTCCGTTGGTAGATCTCATGTAGCTCGCCATTTGAAAAGTAGATCTTAACACAAAATGTGTGGGCACCCCTGACCTATAGCATTTGGTTACCTCCAGTTTAGCATTATATGCAGTTGTTAGAAGCTAAATGGGTCAGATTTATTTGTTGATGAACTCCAGGGAACATTTTTCTTAACCCTTGCAGTGGGTCTACCCTCACACTGCAAGGGTTAAGTGCCCATTTTGTTCTAGGCTCAACAAAAAAAAAAAAAGGTTACACTCACCTGATCCTCGGAGCCGACTGGCTCCTATAGTGCTGCTTCCAGCCTCTCTTTTCTTACATGACATCGATGGTATGTCCCTCTGCGTCCTTACATCCTATACACTGTGTACAGAACGCAATGACTCACACCTTAGACTGCTGCTTTGGAGAGATGCTAGAAGGACCTGACTAAAGCTGCCCACACACCTTTACAATTTATCTGCAGATTTTCTGTGGTCAGATGGAAAAAGTGCAACGGATTGGCCCAGGTGGAGATTGCTCCATCCACAGTTAGGTGTAGATGGAGGAATATGTTGCACCTTTTCCATCTGACCACAGAAAATCTGCAGATAATTGTAAGGTGTATGGCCAGCTTAAGAACAAGCCGGCTCAGAGGATCAGGTGAGTATAACTTTTTGTTTTTGCGCCTAGAACAAAACGAGCACTTAACCCTTGCAGTGCGGGGTGTAGCCTCAGTGCAAGGGTTAAGAAGATTTTATCCCTGGCATTCTTTAAAGCAGAATTGAAACTCAAACTTTTTTTTTTTTCAGTGTTGGATGGAGTAAGGCTCTGTTGACACCTTTGCAATATGGAGGCGAGTGTGATACCGCACGTGATCACCGCAACACACCCTGCAGCACCTATAAGATGTCACATCGCAGAGGTGTGACTGGGGGTATAGTTTTTCCATCCCTGTCCCAGTCGCCTGTCTCCTCTTCTGCAGCAGAGGGGAACGGAGGCTGTATAACTTTTTTTTATTTTTCTCCCTGGAACAAGATGAGCAGTTAACCCTTGCAGTGCGGGGGTAGCCCCACTGCAAGGGTTAATACAAAATTGGCCCACGGTTCCTTTTAAGCCCTTCTCCAGGCAAAGAACCATTGCAATGGGGCTATCCCCGCAATGCAAGGGTTAAGTGCTTGCTTTTGTCTAGGATTCTGGAGTAAAGCAGATTTACTTATCTGATCCTCAGTCCCACTGGCTCCCTCAAGGCTGCTAGACAGGTCTGAACAGCCTCTCCTCCTCGGCCTTTGGTGGTCTAAGGACTGCTTACGTCATCGCGTCCAATGCAGGTTCCATAGACCAGCTTGCCAAGAGATGGGCTCTAAATCTGGTTGCTGAAATGTACCCATTACCCGCTGTTTGGCTACCAACAGACCATCTGCCGCTCCAAATAGCCCTTATATAGCATTCATATAGATGATCGCAAAATGCTGTATAGCTCTGACAATGATACAGATGGACAGCGGATTATCCTGTCAAAAGAGATTAAGACGGAGTACAGATAAGACACTAGCCCTGTCTATATCCGTCAAGCAACTTGCTCGTGCTAATTCTTATTAATCAGAAAACAACTACGAAGGTAGTCAGGCGTCTACATAGAGTGAAGAGTTTGGAGAAGGGAACAATCTATGCCAACATAGCTCATTGGTTTACCTCTACACAGACCATCCCCCCTTCAGTCTATCATGAATGCTGCTGCCAGACTTATCCACCTAACCAACCGCTCAGTGTCTGCAACCCCCCTCTGCCAATCACTACACTGGCTCCAATAGCCCAAAGGATACAATTCGAAATATTCACAATCGCTTACAAAGCCATCCACAACTCTGCCCCCGGCTATATCTCCAACCTGGTCTCAAAATATCACCCTAACCGTCCGCTCATCCCAAGACCACCTGCTTTCCAGCTCCCCTGTCATCTCCTCCCATGCTCGCCCCCAGGACTTCTCTAGAGTATCTCCCATTCTTTGGAACTCCTTACCCCAACCTGTCCATCTGTCTCCCACTCTGACTACCTTTCGGCGATCGCTAAGACTCATCTCTTCAGGGGAGCCTATCCCGCCTTAACCTAACCAATGAACTCTTTCTCATACAATTCATGCCCACCCAGCTACCAACTCATGTATCACTGGCCTCTCCCTCTTAGATTGTAAGCCCTCACGGGTAGGGCCCTCCTTACCATCTTGTCTTGTAATTATGTCGCGCTGCACAAACTGTTGGCGCTATGCAGTGGCGTCACAAGGGGGGTGCGGACCGCACCTGGGCGACACCAAAATGACTGACAGTCATTTTGGTGTCACCCCCTCTGAAAAATTGGGCACTCGGTCATGGACCGAGAGCCCGACAGCTGCAGGAGAGAGAAGGAGGGGACCCGGCGGCATACCTTATCCCGCCGGGTGAATGTCCCCTCCTCTCTCTGCCAGCGTCTATCACCAAGATGGCCGCCGGCAAGTATTTAAAAAGATAATCGCGCATGCGCAGTGACATCATTGCACACGTGTTGACGTTGCGGCAGGTGTCACCCGGTATCTGCTCCGGGTGACACGTGACCTCGGGACGGCTCTGACGCTATATAAATCCTGTATAATAATAATAACTGATTTGGAAAAATTCTCCAATTCAGCTCACTTTCCAGCTAAGCTATGTCGTCCTAGATTGTTCCCTTCTCCTGCCTTCTCCAAACTCTTCACCCTTCTGTGACTAACCCTGTGTACACATTTGCCTCCATCAAATGCAGTGCACTTTATGACCTGTGTGCTGCCTCAATGGTGAAGGACACTGCACATCGCATAGAAAACTACAATTAACAGAGCTGAGGGAATGCCACTAAGCAAGCCTGGTGCAGATCCGGGCAGACCATCTTAGAACAGACCACCGACAACTCAGCTACTGTTGTGTTCCCGCCTATTCACTTTGCCTTAGCGCCAGGCACTGGATCACCAGCATGGCGCTACAAACACAACGCCGAACACGTGAGTGGGCGGAGCCTTTCCGTGCCGCGGCTTAGCCAGTCCTCGCAGAGCATACGAAGCTCCGCCTTCTTTGAGCTCCAGCAATATGTTTGAGCTCCAGGTCAGTAACTGTCCCCGTGTTACACAAAACCAGAAGATTGGAGAAGTTCGGCGAATCACAGCAATAGGTAGCATGTGACAGCGGTGTTAGCCAATCACGTTACGTTATTACTTCCAAGCCGGTCTGGTTACCAAGGGGAAGTGACGAGATCTCAACCAATCACATGTGTCATAGAGTGTTTACTGTACGCTGTCAGGCCCGCCTGTAACCGTGTGCGGTTTGTCTTTCAGACCGGGCCGCCGGTGTAGGTGTCAGCGGACGGAGAAGACATGAATGTGCCGGTGAGGTAAGTGGTGGGCTGTAGAAGAGTGTACGCTGAGTGGAGGCAGCCCTGCCTTTGTATGTGGTTGTCACTGCTGCCATCTGTCACTTGTTTCCAGGGGCAGTCACAGGCAGAGTGGACAGTAAACATCATCCACTGAGCAAGGCCACACATGCTTCCACTGACCGCAATGAACATGTCACTGAAGGGCCAGCTTACTGGGCATTTGGATCTGTGCCAGCTTAATGTCAGGAATAACCATTTCACTGCCGGAGCGATTGGTTACATTTTCTGTGCGCATTAACATGATCTGACATTCTACACCTGACGATTACCTAAAATTTCTGCTTGAAGTACTTCTTTAATGAGACATATGTGAATGGGCCTTTAAGGTTTACTTCTACTGTACTTTAAGGGAGGTCTAGGCACATTCAGGCTTTGTAGTTAAACATGTTTTACTGCTTGTCACAAAAGGCAGGGTGACACATCCAATACTGTGTGATTCATTTAGAATGACACCCCAAAAAAGATTGTATAGTAGCAGCACAGCACACCAGAAAACATTGAGTCAATTTTGTACAAAGCAGTGCTTGATTGTGCGCATCTACCTGTATGGTCCCTTAGAATATCGGGTTTTCTTTTGCAGAACGGATTTGGCAGTTGACAAAACGAAAAAGAAGAAAAAAAGAGAACTAACAGAAGAACAGAAGCAAGAGATTAAAGATGCATTCGATCTGTTTGATACAGACAAAGACAAATCAATTGATTATCATGAATTAAAGGTAAGATACTAAAACATTAGGGGGATGAATCATTAAATAGGAGCTAAACCCCGTGATAATCCCAGTTCCCAATGTAATACTCGTTTTGGTGGTTCAACCATATAATTCACATCTTAATATCTTTAATATATTGAAAGTGGTTGTAAAGTCAAAACTCTTTTTCTTAGTTTTGGATATAGTAGGGAAGTGTCCTGCTAGGGAGATTTCCCTTCACGTCCGGTCTTAGAAACTTAACAGGAAGTTGGAGGAAATCTCCCCAAAGAGAGTGTACGTTACGTACATCATCATCTCTACGCCAGCCCCAGTAGAGTTATCTAAAATACAACTTTAATTTAGAGGGAGGTCGCTTTTACCTCTGAGATTCAAAATCCTAGTGCCAGTGCTCCCAGTTCAAAATAGACTTTTTTTTTTTGCACTGGAAACACTGGCACTATGATTTTGAATTTAATTTATATTCTAATTGAATTCCTGATAAAGCCATATTAATGGTGAAACATGGGCGTGGGTTGTAGGGATGTTGTATATTAGTTAGTGGGAGCGGGTGTGTAATAAATTGAAAATGAGAAACAAATAACGGAAACTGAGAAATGGAAGTTTGAGAGAAAGAAAGTGAAGTGGTAAAAGCAACTTCCCTCTAAATTGGGATTAGTGCTTGTAAAGCGAATGAAAGGGAATTCTAAAGATATTTTAAACAGAATTGAATTGTAAAGTTTTAATTTGTGTCACATGGTGACGAGGGAGCGTGGAGCCGGGGGGTGAGTCATTACACGCCATGCGGCTTACTTAACGGGACTTCCGGTATCGGCGAGTACCAAAAAAAAAAATTACCGAAAAAACGGTCTATCCCTACTGTCTACCTAGTCCAGGACTAACTGACTGAAATGAGGAACAGGGGTAGAAACGAGGTCCTCCTTGGGTATGACAGTTATGACAGTGCCTCTAATAATAAAAAGTCTTAACCAAGAACGTACTTATAAAGAAGAAACAGAATGCATATCTTTCCTGCCAGTCACATAGTTGAATGTAGCTCTGTTGCTGACACCTCTAGTGGCTTTTTCTGCTGACCTCCACATTACTACTGTCTCTTGCAGTGACATGGAGGTAAGCAAGAGGAACCATTGAGAGCTACTTGAGACCCAGGAGATCAAAACTCCTTAAAGTGTCCATTTTCCTTTAGACTTCAGCAATGGAGCAGCACTGCAGCCAGCAAGAGAAGTAAGTATTCTTCTTTATTGGTAAATGCTTGGTTCAGACCTTTTCATTATGAGACACTTTAAACACGCATTGGAATTGCTACATAATATTTGTGATGGATTACAAAGTTTCCAAATATCAATAATTCACAGAATAATTATGTATTAATATTCCCCAAAAATATGTTTGTTCTGTCTCCTATAAGTACAAAGAAATAGTAGTCTGGATCCAATATTAAAAACTCATATGGATATATGGCGTGGCTATAACCCATATGGATATATGGTGTGGCTATAACCCATATGGATATATGGCGTGGCTATAACCCATATGGATATATGGCGTGGCTATAACCCATATGGATATATGGCGTGGCTATAACCCATATGGATATAAGACGTGGCTGTAACCCATATGGATATATGACGTGGCTATAACCCATATGGATATATGACGTGGCTATAACCCATATGGATATAAGACGTGGCTGTAACCCATATGGATATATGACGTGGCTATAACCCATATGGATATAAGACGTGGCTATAACCCATATGGATATAAGACGTGGCTGTAACCCATATGGATATATGGCGTGGTACGTGTAAATCATGTAATAAAATGCAGTTCTTATAGATCTGAATGTAGAGGTATATATCTGCTTGATTTGACTCTAGATAGACATGGTTAAAGTTTTAAAGAACAGATGGTTGTACGGACTTCTGATATTGGCAGGTGGCGATGCGAGCTTTGGGGTTTGATGTGAAGAAAGCAGATGTTCTAAAAATCCTAAAGGATTACGACAGTGAAGCAACAGGGAAAATTTCTTTTGATGACTTTAATGAAGTTGGTAAGTGCTGTCTTACCTTATTATTGATTGATTTATTTTTACTTTACAATGACTGAATAGTTCCTTAAATTAAAGGAGGTTTCTACTTTTATTTAACACCTCTCTGTCTCCCTGCTATTGTTCAGTAATAGAGGCTGCCCTTTGGTGGACTGAATTATATAGTACTTGTCTGACCCAGTGCCAATAATACAAAACATGTTATTCTGTATTATCATATACTTCCCATTTATACTGTTTGCCACATTCACTGATAATCATTTGTTGGTAGACCTTACTCCTACAGGCATAACATCTCAGCAGATTACAGACTGATAGGAGAGGAAGTTAGCACAAATACAACCTTTGTAGTATAATGAAACGCAGGCCATCTAGAAATCTATCTCTCTTCTTCCTTTTCAGCACTTGACCTCTGGGAAATAGCGTGCCTAAGGTTTATTTTTTGGGTCATATGTGATCTGGCAATAGTCGTCACTGCTATTACTCCAGTTTTTGCATTGAGGTTGGTACCTCAGTGCCTCTTACTTAAAGGAGAACTATGACGCGAGTGAAAATCAGTCATCCTCATAGTTCGTGCCGACGTGTGACAATGAAACTGTCACACGTCGGCTCAATAGATTGGGAAGTGAGCAAACGCATACCGTCGCTCGCTCACTTCTCGATCATCTCTCTGCAGAGAGCCGTGACTGTCAGTCACCGCTCCCCGCAGGGATCCCCTCTCCCATCCTCCAACGCTGACTGGAGGAGAGGGCAGGTACAGCTGGCTCTGACTCTAGATAGGAAGAGCAGCTGTCACTCACACAGCTGGGTGGATCTCGACAGCATTGTCGGGATCCGTCCCGGCTGCGGCTGTCTCAGTATACCACTGTAGCTCACGATATACTGAGCTTTGGGTCACGGGAGGACGCTAGTATATGTCCTCCCGTGACCCTTAAGCGAACTATGGGGAAAAACACTTACCCCATAGTTCTCTTTTAATGCACAGGCAAGGGTAAAAGTCAGATCATATGGTGGTCTGTATCAGTTAACGTTGTAGCCTTTCATAGTATGAGGTTTAGAGCGTTGGTGGTGCCTGCTTTCACTGTGTTGCTGATTTACACAAGCTGCAGCAAAAATTATATACTGTAGTTTAGTGAGAAATTGGTTATCAAGAACTCTTGATGCACTGTAAGGTCCCATTCACACTATTGCGGTGCGGTAACACAGGCTGGTGCGAAGCCGTGCTTTGGACGTGCATTGCAGTGTAATGCACAGCAGCGTACAAACGTGTGTTACGGTGCACTGCCAAAAATGCTACAAAACCCTTTTTTGCTGCTTTTAGGCTCTTTAGAAAGCTCATTTGGTCTACCCTAAAGCACCGTATGGCTGTTACTACTTATTTGACTGCTCCAGATCAGTCAGCCAGCCGTGTGGTACTTGGTGAGGCCTAGGTCTACCTTATACTAAAGTATACTAAGCCATGCTGATTTAATATGGATTAGGGCCCACTTCTGTCAGCTCCTGATCGGATGCTGGCTTTGTAGAATGCAAAACTGTTCTCCCTTCAAGAGGTGGGAAAGAGTGTGCGGAGTACCTGGAAGAGACTCTTCTAACAACCAATACAGCTGTGTTGTGATAGTGTACGTGGAAGCACATGTGGTAACCATTACTAGTACAGATTCTAGGACAAGGGTAGGCAACCTTGGCACCCTAAAGTCTGCTTCTGGGAGATACCTGTGGCTGTCAGTCCTGCAACACCTCCCAGGACTTGTAGCTCCACAACAGCTGCTTGCTGGAGTTGTCTAGTTATTCTAGGAGCACATTACTAGGAATGTGATGGTGGTTTACGTCAGACCAGAGACTGAGAATCCACGTACTAGTGTATGCAGTCATAGTAAGTTAGCTGCTCTTTTTGTCCCTTTGCAGTCCAGTAATTTACACAGCTGTTGAATATCCAGTTGAGATTTATGAACGAGTCAGACTGGTCAGTGGTGGCGTTCCAGTGTTGAATGGAAGGGACTTGTTGCACTGATCAGCAGTTATACAAGTGAGAAGAAAAAGGACCAAGGATGCTAGAATGCGCAGAGCTGCCATCTTTTTGTTTTTGTTGGGTCACAGCTGATGATACAATACAATATTGTGATTACCTTTAACAAGAATAAACATTAGCAGAAAGAGTAGATTATCTGGGCACGCTACATTTTAGCTGATCATGATAGATAGTATTCAGATTCACTTTTACCGTACTAGATTATTAGTATGTTCTGCATAGGGCTGCAACAACTAATCGACATAATCGATTATAATCGATTATTGAAAAAGTTGTCAACTTTTTCAATCATCGATTAATCGGCTTCTGATTGGTTGGCCCTGTTCACGTCTCCACAGACGCTGTTCGCCACACCTCCTCCTCCCCACCTCACGCTCTCCACTGCCAGACCCGCCCACCCGCATCCACGCTCCACACAGCGCGCCTCCTCCCTGCGCCTCACGCTCACTGCCCGCCCAAATCCACGATCGGCACTGGGACACGGGGAGAAGAAGTAAGGAGCAGGTGTGGGCGGATGACCGCCACCGATAGACAGGCCCGATCTCAGAAACAAGTTGCTGGAAGACTGCTCAGGTAAGCCTTCCCCTCCCCACACATGGTGCTCTATAATGTATCGCTGGGATTTGTATTCCTCTATAACTGATGGTACATTGTACTCTATATTATACAGAGCAATGCACCATCAGCTATAGAGGACTACAAATCCCAGCAATACATTGTACACTGTATGTATAATCTATTGCTGGGATTTGTTGTATCCCTATACAGCTGGTGGTATTCTGCATTAATAATACATTATACTGCGCAATGCAGAATACCACCAGCTATAGAGGACTACAAATCCCAGCAATACATTATACAGCACAATGCCGAACACCACCAGCTATAGAGGACTACAACACCCAGCAATACATTATAGTTGGCGGTATTCTGCATTGCGCTGTATAATGTACTATTGCTGGGATTTGTAGTCCTCTATAGCCGGTGCCATTCTGCATTCATTTCTGTATAATTTTACACTTTTCATTTCCCTATATTGCACACCACACTTTTTTTTTTCTTCCACCGCTCCAAGCTCGCTCCTGTGATACACTGCAATCTCAATACAAACTAGTAGTCCATCATTGGAGCCATTCTTTAAAAAAAATAAATATTTTTTAACCGATTTAATCGAACGTAATAATCGGCTAACTAATCGATTTTGAAAATAATCGTTAGCTGCAGCTCTAGTTCTGCAGTACATTTCTATAAATCTTTTCCTGATAATATAGTTACAGATTTGATATTAGACCGTGACCCCCAAGAAGAGATGCTCAAAGCTTTTAAACTGTTTGACGATGATGACTCAGGAAAAATTAACTTGCGGAATCTCCGTCGAGTTGCCCGGGAACTTGGAGAAAATATGAGTGATGAAGAGCTGCGGGCTATGATTGATGAATTTGACAAAGATGGTGATGGTGAAAGTAAGTTAGACGTGTTAAACTTTGTGTTTTTGACACCCGATAATCAAGAGAGAACATTTCTTTTTTATATCTGTTGTTTTTGTAGGTAAGAGTATGCACAGTAGTGATTTCAATATCAATAATGCTGATTTCTCTGTGTTCTGATTCCAGATGAATGTACACTGCATGGTATTTATCACTAGTATAATTTTCATATAGATAGATATATCCGTTAACTAATTTTGATGTATTGTGGTAAAAGAAAAAAAACAATACCTTGCACAAATGTGCCACAATCATGTCCTTTTTAGGTACACGCAGGTTTAATAAATGATCTATAAAATGATTCATTACAATTAATTAATGATTCATTACAATAATGCCCCGTCCCTATGTACATGTAGATATTTAATGGAGACCCAAAGTGCAAAATTTTGCTTGCAGGGAAAGAGACGAATGTAACAGCTACATATGACATTTAGTATGTGTGAATGGAGTTTGATGTTTGGGAGCTCACGGAGCACTCGCACAGCGTTTATCCATCAACAAAAAGTCTTTATTTTTCTTTTAACAGCAGGTAATCAGTAAGCCCAACATAAAGAAAGATTGTCTTCAGCAGAATATACATATATTGGCTCACCAATCACCAAGTTGTCTCACACACTCGCGGTGTCCCAGTTTTTCAATAGTTTTCTATTGCAGCACTGCTGCTCCGGCCTCAATCCACAGGGTCACGGTCTGGTTCCTCCAGACAACCTCAATACTGTGCTATCCTGCAGCTCCCTGCTGCACTGGCCTCCACACTGACTCCCAGGTGGCAATCTCCTGTCTCCCAGGTGGGGCCCTGAACACATCCCAGCACCCTCTTCATGAGGGATGTACACAGGTGCACAATCACTATTAAGGCATGGACCCATGGAATGGAGATTTCGTCCCACCCAGAGCTCTAAGAAATCTCCTGGCTCCAGAATCCCGACTAGGATCCAGAAAACAAGGAAAGGACTGAAAAGGCAGTCCTTTCCTGGTACAAGAAATTTATGCCTGGAGCCACTCAGCCCCTCTGGCTGAGAATCCTGGGTCACTTTGAGGCCACATAACACAGTGGTATTGCCACGCAATGCCACAGGAGATAAAGGTAAACTTATAAATAGGGATGCACCGATATATTGGCCGCCAAAACATATCGGCCAAAAATTGCACTTTTGTCAAAATGCCAAAAGTGCCATTTTTGTGGTAGATACAGCGGTGCATACATTCTTTCTCTCCTCTCCACTGTGCGCTGCTCTGTGTCCCAGCGGGGAGGAGAGAAACTGTCACAGGCGGCCAAGCGCTGCGGGAGGAGAGTGCTGTGAGCGGCTGGCATCTCTCCTCCCACACCACTCGGCCTCCTATCACAGATCGGGACAGCAGTGGGGGCAGAGACAGCCAGCGCTGTCACATGAGGCTGAGCTCTCCTCCCTGTTCCGCTCGCTCAGCCTCCTGTGACTGTACGTCTCACATCTGTGGAATGGTTACTGTCGGGATACTATGACTGCTTGATAATTTAATTTATTTTTTGATTTTTGTTTATTATTAAGCTGCTCCAAACCTAGGAACAGCCAAAAATATCCTTAGTGATACTGATCCTGAAGTGCTGATTCTGCAGCATTTCAGGCTCAGATCTCACTAAAAGCTTCTGATCATTCCCAGAAAGATCAGAAGTCTGATACAATGTTTCAGCAAATAAATATTGTTACATATTTCTGTGCTGAAGAATGCATTGTAACAAACAACCTGTACATATTGGGAAGTTACAATCTCTACAGAGCTGTCAAAACTGAAATAGCTATTTCAGCTGTCAAATACCGATTTGCTGATAGCGATCCAGTATTTGTAACCACTAAATTCTTTCATTAATGGATGCCCTCAATACTGAGTCTCAAATAGCTGCTCACGTACAGTGTATGTGAGCAGTCATTTAGGCACTTCACGCTGGAGACGTACAGTGTATGTGAGCAGTCATTTGGGCAATTCACGATGGAGACGTACAGTGTATGTGAGCAGTCATTTGGGCAATTCACGATGGAGACATACAGTGTATGTGAGCAGTCATTTGGGCAATTCACGATGGAGACATACAGTGTATGTGAGCAGTCATTTGGGCAATTCACGATGGAGACATACAGTGTATGTGAGCAGTCATTTGGGCAATTCACGATGGAGACGTACAGTGTATGTGAGCAGTCATTTGGGCAATTCACGATCGAGACGTACAGTGTATGTGAGCAGTCATTTGGGCACTTCACGATGGAGTCGTGAAGGAGTTAAACTACAGACGAAGTCACAATAGAGATCAACAAATTGCAGTTCATAGTGCAGTCCCTGTGACAACATTGCAGTTGCTTAATAACCACATTGACCTATCTGTAAATGAACCCTTACCCGTGTTGCAAATTACTAATTAGTACTGGAATGATGTCTAAAAATATCCTTTATTTTGTGTGTACAGTAAATATAGAAGAATTCATTACCATAATGACTGGCGACATTTAACCTGAAGCCGAAGAGCCGTTTGTCTGCGTGTCACAAGTTACCAGCAGCAGGAATGATTGAGAACACTTTCATTATGGACCAATTCTGATGCGGAAGTCAGTATTTTGTAGCATATCCATGTCACGTTGGAATTTTTCTCAATTTTGAGTACAGTTCTATTTGTAAAATAGTTTTTTTTTAATGCAGTTGTAATTAAATTGCAAAATACTTTGTAAACTGGTGTGGTTGCTGTTTTCCTTTATCATGGTTCAGTTACAGTACAATTTCTCATACACTTATTATTATACAGGATTTATATAGCGCCAACAGTTTGCGCAGCGCTTTACAATATAAGGAAGACATTACGGGATAATATTAGTAGACATGCGTTGCAGAAGACATATAGAGGAGCTGGAAGTTTCACACCCCAGGTTTCAAATGCAAGAAAAAAAAGGGTATTTCCACAGTGGGGTGTGCGAAGACCCAGAGGGGAAAAGAAAAAAAGGGGGCTTTTAAGAAACAAGTCCAGACCTCGTGTATAAAAATCCCAGATGTCTTTCCCAGACATCTGGGATGTCTGGGAAAGAAACAGCAACACCACACACGGCAAGAGCAGAACTTCACTACCTCTAAGTCTAGTATGCCGGCTGCCTGTTTTTCCTGAAGACTACAGGGTGCTGTCTCCGACGCGATCCCTCCATTTGTGTTTACCTGTGGCGGTTCATGCCACAGGTAAACACGGTATCGTCACCATTCGGTGAACCTGCATTTGTAAAAGCATTTTTATTGATGATTTTGTATTCCGTTTTTTATCTTAAATAATGTATACAACGATTTATTGAATAAATGTACTTCTAAGATTTTTATACATGAGGTCTGGACTTGTTTCTTAAAAGCCCCCTTTTTTTCTTTTCCCCTCTGGGTCCTCGCACACCCCACTGTGGAAATACCCTTTTTTTTCTTGCTAAGGAAGACATTACAATACAATTCAAGACAAGATGGTAAGGAGGGCCCTGACCGTGGGGGCCTACAATCTAAAGAGAGGGGGAAGTGATACATGAGGAGGTAGCTGTGTAGGGATGAATTGTTTGAGAAAGTGATAGTTCAGTGGTTAGGTTGAGGTGGGATAGGCTTCCCTGAAGAGATGAGTCTTAAAGGATCACCTAAAGGCAGTCAGAGTGGGAGACAGACAGACAGGTTGGAGTAAAGAGTTCCAGAGGATGGGAGAGACTCTAGTGAAGTCTTGGGGGCGAGCATGGGAGGAGTTGACGAGGGATCTGGAATGCAGGAGGTCTCTGGAGGAGACGGTTAGGGTGATACTTTGAGACCAGGTTGGAGATATAGCCGGGGGCAGAGTTGTGGATGGCTTTGTAACTGATTGTTAATATTTTGAATTTTATCCTTTGGGCTATTGGAAGCCAGTGCAGGGATTGGCAGAGGGGGGTAGCAGACACTGAGCGTTTGGTTAGGTGGATGAGTCTAGCAGCTGCATTCATGATAGACTGAAGGGGGGATAGCCTGTGTAGAGGAAGGCCAATGAGGAGGGAGTTACAATAGTCAAGACGAGATATAACAAGGGAGTGGATGAGTAGTTTTGCGGTTTCATTGGTGAAGAAGGGGTGTATTTTGGAGATGTTACGAAGGTGAAGGCGGCAGGATTTGGATAGCGATTGGATGTTACATAGTTACATAGTATTTGAGGTTGAATAAAGACATACGTCCATCAAGTCCAACCTATTAGGATCTCATTCTAGGAGTACCTGTACCCCTGTATATTACCTGTACCCCTGTCTAAGACGGTCCCTTAAGAAATCGTCCAAAAGTTTCTTGAACAATTCCACATTATTTGCTGAAATCACCGCCTGTGGCAGTGAGTTCCAGACCCTAACTGATCTTACTGTGAAGAACCCCCTTCGCCCCTTGTACTGGAATTTTTTTTCCTCTAATTTTAGGTGGTGGCCTCTAGTTTTTGTAACGGAGTTAATTTTAAACAGTTTATCGCTAATGTTGCTACCACCATTGAACATTTTGTACATGGAAATCATATCCCCCCTTAATCTCCTCACCTCTAATGTGAGGGAAGAAAGGTGAAGTCCAAGTCAAGGATGACACCTAGCACTTCTATACATCCGCAGTCATACAGTATGTACTGTAACTACAGTATAATCAATTCACATAAGCAGAAAACACTGGGAGGGGAATTTATTAAAACTGGAGCAGACAAAATCTGGAGCAGCTTCCCTCTTCAGTTTGTTCAGTTAAGATTTGAAAATGAAAGAGAAAGGCTGATTGGTTGCCATGCACAGCTGCTCCAGATTTTGTCTGCTCCAGTTTCGATAAATTCTTCTCGCAGTATTTTCATGACCGTGCCTAATTTACTAATCTAAATCACATTTTTTTTTTTAGATTTACCTTTGTTTTTTGTGGAAGTGATTTTTACTTTACTTTATGTATCTAAACCCAAGTACAAATATTTTGTGTAATGTAGCTTACTAGTCCTAAGAGGTAATGGCTGCATGCGTTTTATTGGCTTTTTTTTTTTTCCTGGGATCCTGCCACTAACACTTGTAAAGAAGAACTCCAGGCAACATTTTTATCAACCCTTGAAGTTGGGCTACCCACGCACTGCAAGGGTTAACTGCTCGTTTTTGTCTACGGAGGAAAATAAAAAAAGTTATACTGACCCAAACCTCAGAGATGGCCGGCTGTCACAGTGCTCCCTCCTGCCTGTCTCCCCCTACACTGCAGAGATGGTTTGTCCCTCAGCATCCTCACATCCTATACACATTATATAGAACGTGATGCCTACCACTTACTGAAGATGCAGACATTTTTATTATTGTGATACAAACAAGAACTAAGACAAAAATAAAACAGAAAAATTGAGCGTGAATAACTATTCACCCCCCTAAAGTCAATACTTTGGAGAGCCACCTTTTGCATCAATTACAGCTGCAAGTCTCTTGGGGTTTGTCGTCTAGCCACTGGAATGTTTGCCCAGTTTTCAAGGCAAAAGTGCTCCGGCTCCTTCAAGTTGGATGGGTTTTGCTGGTGAACAGCAATCTAAGTCATGCCACAGATTCTCAATTGGATTGAGGTCTGGGCTTTGACTAGGCCATTTCAAGACATTTAAATGTTTCCCCTTAAACCATTGCAGTGTTGCTTTAGCAGTATGCTTAAGGTGGCCATACACCTTGCGATTATCGGACGAAACTTTCCGTCTGATGATTGAATAGTCGTACGATTTTCGTACGGCAGCCCCATCCTGCCCCGATGATCGCAAGATTAATTGAGCCGTAATTAACGAAAAGCACCTGGACGAAATGCGGTAATTGATTTGCCGTATTTTCGCAAGCGCAGTGTAGATCGTACGACTTTTGACGTACGGAAACGCCAGCAACCTTACGACAATCGTACGATCTGGCAAAGTTTTCAAACATGCTTGACCGTCAAAAGTCGTACGATTGTACAGTACTGTCGGTCAGACTTGTAAAGAAGAACTCCAGGCAACATTTTTATCAACCCTTGAAGTTGGGCTACCCACGCACTGCAAGGGTTAACTGCTCGTTTTTGTCTACGGAGGAAAATAAAAAAAGTTATACTGACCCAAACCTCAGAGATGGCCGGCTGTCACAGTGCTCCCTCCTGCCTGTCTCCCCCTACACTGCAGAGATGGTTTGTCCCTCAGCATCCTCACATCCTATACACATTATATAGAACGTGATGCCTACCACTTACTGAAGATGCAGACATTTTTATTATTGTGATACAAACAAGAACTAAGACAAAAATAAAACAGAAAAATTGAGCGTGAATAACTATTCACCCCCCTAAAGTCAATACTTTGGAGAGCCACCTTTTGCATCAATTACAGCTGCAAGTCTCTTGGGGTTTGTCGTCTAGCCACTGGAATGTTTGCCCAGTTTTCAAGGCAAAAGTGCTCCGGCTCCTTCAAGTTGGATGGGTTTTGCTGGTGAACAGCAATCTAAGTCATGCCACAGATTCTCAATTGGATTGAGGTCTGGGCTTTGACTAGGCCATTTCAAGACATTTAAATGTTTCCCCTTAAACCATTGCAGTGTTGCTTTAGCAGTATGCTTAAGGTGGCCATACACCTTGCGATTATCGGACGAAACTTTCCGTCTGATGATTGAATAGTCGTACGATTTTCGTACGGCAGCCCCATCCTGCCCCGATGATCGCAAGATTAATTGAGCCGTAATTAACGAAAAGCACCTGGACGAAATGCGGTAATTGATTTGCCGTATTTTCGCAAGCGCAGTGTAGATCGTACGACTTTTGACGTACGGAAACGCCAGCAACCTTACGACAATCGTACGATCTGGCAAAGTTTTCAAACATGCTTGACCGTCAAAAGTCGTACGATTGTACAGTACTGTCGGTCAGACACTGCAATGCACACATACGATTATCGGCCGAAAAGTCGCTCGCATACGAAAATCGTACGATAATCGTAAGGTGTATGGGCACCTTTAGGGTCATTGTCCTGCTGAAAGGGGAACCTCCGTCCCAGTCTCAAATTTTCTCTATCTGACTGAAAAAGGTTTCCCTCAGGAATTTCCCTGCATCCAGCGCCATCCATCATTCCTTCAATTCTGACCAGTTTGCCAGTCCATGTTGATGAAAAACATCCCCACAGCATGATGCTGCCACCACCATGCTTTACTGCGAGGATGGTGTCTCGGGGGTGATGAGAGGTCTTGGGTTTGCGCCAGACATAGCGCTTTCCTTGAAGGCCAAAAAGCTCAATTTTAGTCTCGTCTGACCAGAGAATTCCTTCTTTCATATCTCTGGGGAGTCTCCCACGTGCATTTTGGCAAATATCAAATGTGTTTGCTTATATTTTCTGTAAGCAATGGCTTTTTTTTCTGGCCATTCTTCCATGAAGGCCAGCTCTGTTTAGTGTATGGCTTAAAGTGATCCTATGGACAGATACTCCAATCTCCACCGTGGAGCTTTGTATCTCCCTCATGGTTATCTTTGGGCTGTTTGTTGCCTCTCTGATTAATGCCCTCCTTATCTGGTCCGTGAGTTTTGGTGGGCGGCCCTCTCTTGGCAAATTTGTTGTGGTGCCACATTCTTTCCATTTTCTGATAATGGATTTAATGGTGCTCCGTAGGACATTTTCTTTTTTTTTTTAACCCAACCCCGATCTGTACTTCTCCACAGCCCTGAACAGTGTGGAGAGCTCCTTGGTCTTCATGGTGCTGCTT